ATGGGAACTTTGAGCTTTGGAGGCCAAACTCCCGGAATCATGCAGTATGTGAGCGTGCTCATCGTTAACGATACATGTTGTAGAATCAGCTATGGAGATAATAAAATTGAAGACTTCATGATCTACGCTGGTGAAGGAGGCAAAGACACTTGCAGCGGAGAGGCCGGTGTTCCACTTGTGTGCATGCAGTTATTATTTATATGGAATTTCTTCCTTGCAAACTGGATATGAGGCAAAAAGTTGGGTGTACCGGAGTTTACACCGAAGCGTCGTATTTCGTCGACTGGATACTCGCCAACGCACAAGTCGTGACTTCAATTATGCTGAGCAAACGCTAATCGAAGGAATTTTTCAATTAAAATTACGGACACCGTCAAATTCTACAAACTTATCTCAAGAATATCTAGTGTCATGCTGACACATTTGCAGCACCTACTTCGGTAGTGAAATTAAAGTTTCCTGTGAAATCAAAGTATACCTATACTCGAGTAATTCGCGACAGAAGAAGAGGTGAGCTGGCTATCGGAGTTCTTCTGGTCTATATACGAGCGCCCCAGTTTTGCCAATAATAAAAAGTTTGTATGAAATCATCTTAGGATTTTCAAGGGTTTCAAGAAATATGCCCAAACAATCATCCAAAATCATATAACTTTGGTTGAAGCTGTTTGGACTTTAAAATTCAAGTATTGGTAAGTTAGCCTCGTTCCCTAAAGTAAATGGATACCCATATACATGTCGCTATTTGAACACAAAATCTCAAGCCAGAATTCTGCCTTTATAAATATCTTATTTAATTACTTGTGAAAAGGAATGATCCGAAACATAAAAAATCAGGACTTGCCTCATGTACTGCTGAGACTATGAAATTTAATGAGAAAAGATCCGTATACGTACCCACACTGAAATTAACTGTTTCAGTATACTGTGCAAGTATTTTAGATAGTATGTATACTGAGTAAGTCAGTATAGTTACTGTATTTGTGCGTAGTGGAGTGAGAAATGAACTTAGGATATCGTTTCCGGTAGAAGCGAATAAAGGTACCGTGTCACCATAAAGAATGTAAGAACACTGCGTCACTTTGAAGGGAATAAGGTCACTATGTCACCTTTAAGATGATTGGGATATTGTGTAACCTTGCAGAGAATAACGATGATGCTCTATTACCTTAAGAAGATTAGGAATACTGCGTTACCTAAAATATATTAACCCTTCTGCGTCAGCGCAATGAAGAATCAACAGTCGATAAGCAACCATTCTTAACGACACAAGTCAGTTGACGACCTCTTTAGTGGGAAATTAAATTACGTCATCTCGTCAACCCAAATTGAACGTTGTGACCACGTTTGTTACTCGCCAGTTTCAGAGCACTATGTCAAACTATCGTAATTTTCGCTTTGGTGTCGGCGTTGGAGATAAGGTCGAATCTGGAAGTTCGCTGATTCAACAATATAATTCAGATCTATATAAATCTAACTCTGAAGCTAAAAATATGCAAATCTCTGAAGCAAATCGTTCAATGAAACGATTTGCTGTCATAATTGTTAAATTATAGGAGTTTCAACTTGACCTTATGAGAAATCGCTCACTTTCGATGAGATGACGATTTAAAAGATGTCCACGTATGCCGTCGTTTTTATTCAAATTTGAAGTTCAGGTAATAATCTAAGAACTACGCGAACGAGTAGTTTAGTGTTGTAGAAAGATGAATTGAGATTGAAAAAATATAATGCTGGATGAATAACTGAAACATTTTAATGTAGGAAGAGAATTTCAAGTCTGGTCTCTATTCATCAAAATAACTTTATCAACTCGTCGGAATTTTATTAGCTCGATGAGTTTAATTAATTACTGAAATTATTATTGATATCATTCATATGACACTTAGTTACACGTTAAAATATTGAATTCCAGCTAAAATTTATTCTTTGATTGTGATACTAACTTTCGACCACTTAATTTGATATTTTACGGTGAACAACGAAATGGTAAAATCTGTTTGCGAGTTAAACCTAATTGCGCAATAAGCCATATATAAATCATAAGACGAAGCTCGAGAATAGAGATGGATTTATACAGTTGTTCGAGCTTTGCAACAGCATCCATTTGTCATCACATTATTTGTGCTTTACCACGGTTAATGTTCACAGAGCATAGTTCCAATCGCGGCTCATGCGTTGGCGAGGATCCAGTTTACGAAGGACGACTATTCGGTGTACACTCATAATCAGGGGTTCCAAAACATGTCACATTCGTATGCAAAGAAGGTAATTCCGAAGGAACGCCCGTCGGAGACCACCACTGCCGGGCTTCGAATGGACCATAATGATCTCTTCCTTCAATAACGTAGCCTATAACACTTCTTGACTGTAACATTATAAGCTGCAAGCTACCGGATAAATCACATCCATTGAAGTAGATTAATCAGCCCACAGGAAAGTAGCCAGACGTAGTATGGTCCAGCATCGGCTGCCAATGTGTGAAAAAAATTTTACACCATCCGGACGGAGCGCGCCGGAGCCTTGCAGTGAATATGATGCCCGTCACCGACCCGTCTGTATCTGTCCCGCGTGTCGAATCAGCCTTCGATCGAACGGCCACTCGTCGTAGGACGATAAATTTTGAAACAGATGTATGCTATCTAAAACCTAACCCAAGATGCTGTGAGCTAAAAGTGATCGTCTGGTGGTGCACGGCAGGATTCATGTAGTTCCACTGGCCAGCTGGGCTGACTGGTCGAAGTCCGTTGTCCGCTAGCTACAGTTCGAACTAAAGTCAAGGTATGAAGTGATGATTCAATGCAACGTTCAGTGGTGGACGATCATTCCATCTGGACTTTTCGCTTCAGAATATGTTGGCGTAAAGTCCCTAATATTTAAAGCAAGATGATACCATGGGCTGGTTATTGATGGATGGCTTATTTCACGGCTGATTTGTGGTCATCTGGAAATATGCTAGGCGTTCCGTTCAGAGCTGTTTGGTGCACAAATTTGGTGGTGCAGGCTGCGTTTCCATTCCGCAGAGATAATTCCCGCACGTCATGGGACCGCCACCGTCTCCGTGGCACGGGAACGCAGCCGTGCACCACCAAATTTGTGCACCAAACAGCTCTGAACGGAACGCCTAGCATATTTCCAGATGACCACAAATCAGCGGCGGATTAAGCCATCCGTCAGTAACCAGCCTATAACATCATCTTACTTCAAATATTAGGAGCTTCAAGGGTTCTATTGGTGACCTCGGCTAATGTAACACACACCAAGTTTATATTTTTACACTTTAATTTCCTCTATTAAAATGATCATAATTCTTTCGGTTTGTTTTAATCTTTTTTTCGTGAGCAAATGGGATGCTGTACGATCGTAGAGGTTATGTCAGTAGGCCTGTAGTCCTTCACCACCACCATTGCCAATATAACCACCAACCTCACTAGCTACTGAACCGGTCATGGTGCGAGCGGATGGGAGTTGGAGCAATTAATGCTTCCGGGTTCAATTGCCCTGGCTAAGCTGACTAACTGAAATTACAGCGGATTCCTCACATCTAAAACGATATTGAAGATTTACTCTAATTCAAATCTCAAACTCTATTTTCTGGGTGTCGAGCAACTCACCACCCTCCACATTATCATCTCATCACCATCATCACTCTCCCCACCATCACCCATATTGTAGTATCATCAATATCACATTTAATGTGAAAATTTTAAAAATAAAGCAGTTAATCAAAACAACGAGAGTTGAAAACATGTAAATAGAAACAGAACCGATCTTTATTTTCATTTAAATAATGTGTAAATGATAACACAAATATAAGAATAACACAAATAATTCTCGTCACCAACCCCATGCCTCCCATGCACATTCATCCGTGCAAAATATCCTAAGCCTTCTTCATCCAACTCGAACACAGCCCCAGGAGAAAAACAAAAATCAAATGCCCTATAGTGCCCTTTTCGTCTTTCTCTTTTCTTTCCTGCCTCTATCAGTTATGTCATGTGCCACATCTCATTTTCTCCACAATTTCTTAGTGGCATCACACCCTCCGTCATTCCCTGTGCAGAGTCCCCATCAAAGTTTACGGAACACTGGAACACATCGCTACACCCCTGCTTCTTAGTTATTATGGCAACGCTGGCATTTTCATAACAGCTCTCAGCTAATTGTTACGGTATATCCATGTCGTCCGCCTATAGCCGGTATCACAGTTCAAATTGAACATGACTTAACTGCTCCATCAGTAAATTTTTGAATAATTAGTCGTATAGGCTAGGCAATTTTCGTTCAGAGATTTAGTTGAAGTTCATGCTCCTACTAGTGGTCCCTGTAGGATCTCTCATTTTGACGACTGATCTGCACTCGCAACATCGCCTCACCTCGATTCAGCAAAGAACGGCATGAAAAGTTAACCTCAGAAGATACTTGACCGCCATTTCAAAAAGGAAACCGATGCATAGAATTTTGATTTATAAATGATAATTTTATTGCTGACGAAATGTCACAAATGAAGATTTTAATAGTAATAGAACAGTTAAAATAACAAAGCATTTTGTACGTACTCAAATCATATTGTTTCAACAAATACCTACGGGGAAACGCAACGATGCATTACACACCTAGCAACGTTTCCATTTGCCAATTATTTTGGGGATCGGATTTTAATTTGAAAAATTAAAGTGGTGTCATAAAAAATCACCCATTTGGAAGCGATTGGAAGCGAGTTGTTATTGATATTTGATAGTATAAAACGAAATGAATGTGCCCACTTGCATCTGTACGCACGTAAGAGACACTACTGAATAAAATTTTAATTGTAGCTTATAGTATAATGGAGGCTTGGAATATGGTTCGTAAATAAGAGTCGATAGCAAGATGACACTGCGTTATTATCTGAATATACTTGAGATAAACACAGAAGTGTTCTGCGCAGGTGGTAAAAATTCCCATCGCTCTCCGATAAAAGCTTCAGTTCCGTCATGCAGCGCTACGTTTTGCCGCTTTAGGGAGACGATTATCATGAAGTTGTTCATCCTGTGTGTCTTGGTAGCCTCGGGATTCGGTGAGCGAAGTATCAAGAAAATTGAACGCATATGTGAAATCTTTGAATACAATTGGCCAGGTCATCAAATTCCCTCTCGTGCATTTCCTGTTGTAACCAAATTTCGTTGAAAATCATCCTGTTGTGAGAATGTGGAACAAGAGTCCCACATTCTTTTAAAAGATTAAATCAACACAAACACTTGAGAATGGCGATTGCGGTACAAAAAACCCCCCAAAAATTGAAAGAAAGTGTTCTTTAATGTACAGAAAGTTACCGGACTTCGAGCATCTTACCATCGAACCTTTAGAAACAATTTCGAAAACATCACGGTACATTGCTAACCCTTTCAGGACTGACTGGACATTTCGGTACTTTAAGGCTTATGTCACTAGACAGAAATAGCTGGACGACAGTGAATGTAACCGAGATCAAAGGGTCTAAAGGCAATTAGTTTTCACTCCTTTTTTACAACACTTCTCTTTAACTTCACTTCTTGTCTGTCTGTCTGTCTGTCTGTCTGCTACAAATCTTATAATCAAAATTTAACACACTTCTACTTATCCTATCGATCTGAAATTTTGCATACGTGTTTAAAGTTGGAGACAATGCATGAATCAAATGTCAAAATAAATGATTTTAAAAATTAAAAAAAAATTTTTTTTAATATTAAAAAAAGTGAAAAAATAATTTTGTCAGCTACAAATCTTATAACTGATATTTGACACACTTTTACGTGTCTAGTTGATCTAAAATTTTGCAAACTTGTGTGAAATCAGAGGCAATGCATGTATCAATTAACAGAATAAAAATTAAAAAAAATAAGTAAATTTTTTTAATTTTCGAAAATTAGATGAGAAATTCATTGTACCTACATCTGTAAGATTGGAGATACTGGATTTTTTGGAAGTGTTGTCTTTAAAAAGTAATTTTTAAACGTATATTATTACCTTTTTATATTCTTTTCATAATAAAGAACATAAATATACATTCGAGTCCAAGCGTGAACAATTGTTCACAATCGCTGTGAAGGGAATTCCGTGCATGGGTTTAAGTCAGTGGTTCCCAAAGTGGGCGATATCGCCCCCCTAGGGGCGCTGGATTTTGGGGGGCGGTAAGGAAGAAGAGGGCGGTAGGGGGGCGATAGGGGGGCAGAAGTCCGAAGTCGAAGTCAGAAGTTCGAACGTTTGTTTGACGATTTGTCCGTAACACGTGCAGCGCATGACTTCCAGCGATGCTTTTGTCACCCAGATCTGTTTTTTAACCTTTCCTGAGTTTACGTCTCGGACAAATTAACGGCCGGACTCGCGGCCGGTCTCACGGCCTATTTCCAAATAAAACGATCAAGGAATATCTCTCGAACTGATGAACTTAACTCGATGAAACTTAGTACACGTATTCGTTAGGACCTAACCATAATTTTTAGCTCGTAAAAATTGTTTGAATTTTGCTATCGTTTGTTTTTGCCATAGTTATGTGGCAATACGGGCCGAAATTCACAGTGATCAAGTAATTTCTTCCAAACTACTGAACAGATCCGAACGAAATTTTGAATTTGCAGTCCTAACTACCGAACGGTAATGTTTAGCTCGTGAAAATTTTTTGCGATTGTGCCTTCGTTTGCGAGTTTTTTTTCTCATTTCACCTTCATTCGTGATTTAAACAGCAATACGAGTTTAAATTCGCAGTAATCAAAAAATATTTTCCAAACTGCTGAACAGGATTGAACGAAACTTAGTTTATTTAAATACCTAACCTCAGCAACGGTGATGTTTAGCTCGTTACAATTTTTTCGTTTGCGAGTCATACGGCTATACGTCTACGGCTCTTGGTTAAACCGGCCGCTAGAAAAGCCGGTCGTTCCTCCTATATCTGTATAACTCGCGAACGAAAGCAAAATATAAAAGTTGTCACGAACTAAGCATCACCGTTGAGAGGTTAGGTAATTATATACAAAGTTTCGTTGAAATCCGTTCTATAGTTTAGAAGAAATTTCTTGATCGCCGCAAATTTAAGTGACAAATTACCCGGCGATACGGGCCGAATATAAGGAAGTGTGAAATCAAGAATGACTGTGAAATGAAAAAAAAAACTCGCTAACGGAGGTAAAATCGGAAAAAATTTTATAAGCTGAAAATCACCGTTTGGTAGTTAGGAATGTATATTCAAAATTTCGTTCAAATCTGTTCAGTAGTTTGGGAGAAATTCTTTGATCACTGTGAATTTCGGCCTGTTTCGCAATATTCGCGTAACGCACAAATGAAGGTGAAATTAAAAAATTACGAGCTAAACATCACCGTTAGGTTCTGATAAATGCGTGTTCCAAGTTTCATAGAGCTGCGTTCATTAGTTTGGGAGATATTACTTGATACTTGAATTTAGAGATTGGTGGTGAGACCGGCCACGAGTCCGGACGTAAATTCGCCCTAGAAGTACTAGGTTTCTGGTGATGAAACTGTTAAAACACCCGAAAAACATATTGGTTCACTAATTGGGGTTCTATTTGTGAAATACACATTTGTGTTTAACCTTTCTCTTTTAAAATTTATTTCCCCTAAATTTCAAGAAAGAGGCTTATGTCTGTGGGGGGGGGGGGCGCTAGAAATTCATTAGGGAGCCAAAGGGGGCGCCAGCCTGAAAAAGTTTGGGAACCACTGGTTTAAATCAAATTTTGTCCTGTTTTTTGTTGTCGTTTTTGTTGGGGTCTGACTTGGAAAGTGTGGAAAGGAGCTAGATGTGGTACAGAGTGGCCACAAAGGAGAAGGAAAGGAATAATGGAAAGGTCACTGTGAGACGAAGAAAGGTGCATAGCGCATAATTAGGTTTTTTGCTGGTGTATGGGCTTAGTTAGGTTTGGGGAAGGGAGATGGATACCAGTCAGGGCCTTGGAAGGTTTACTTAAGGAGTGATGGAGGAGGTTGGTGGTTCATTAATTATGAAAAATTATTTCAAGTTTGAGTACTATTCAGGATAAATATGAAGGATATGTACTCTATTTGCGAGGGAATTTAATTTCTTTCCTTCTTTGTCGTTTAGAATATATTTGTTCTTAAAAAGTTGATATGATGATACAGGGGGTAATGGTGCTGGTGGTGATGATGATGATAAGATTGGTGAGTCATTCGAGATTCTGGGGCTTGTCGGTAGGTCTTCTGTCTCGTCTGTTTGTGTGAGTCACTCTCGATGCGCATTGTCTGTCCGTAAGCGTAATTATGCTCATGCTCAGGTCCATCATAGTGTATTGGATGATGATGTGGATTGTGCGATTGGTGGTTACGTGTACAGAGGCAAGGGTCCTAGTGCGTGCATTTTTGAACTTTTGAATGGCCGGTTCTGCCTTGCTTAGGCGTTGGGGGGGGGGCAATGTTAGTTGATTGATGAGATCATATGTCTTGATGGTGGACCAAGTTTACCGTGCTCTATAGTTGGTGAAGGACTGTCTTTCTGTGGAAATAGCACAATGTTCGTTTAGTGTTTGGGAATATAATAAGTCGGACCAGTGTGTATCTGTAATGAATCCAAAGGCTTTGTTTTGGATAATTTTCTGCAGTTTGAATATGGATGATATCAAATGGGTGCTGTTACCTTCAAGATAGTCTGTAAGCGTTTCAATAAAGGAAGGGTGAAGGTTCAGTTGCACGATTTTCTATAGTAGTTCGGTGTGCCAAAACTTGTAGAAAGCTTTAGTCACATCACAGAGCAAATAAATCACACATCAAGTCACACCATTGACGATGTCAATGGTGTGATTTGTGCTACATGGTTCATGCTAGGATACTTCAATCTACATTCTTGCATAAATCTAACAAGTTGATAAATTAGTGTATTGTATCACTGCATTAAAATCTTTCAGACAGAAACTCTGATGTTTACGATTGACATCCCGAAATGATTGAATGTTTTCAGCGGTCCCGCCGTCAACAATCCCAAGGTCCAGGAGTGGCCAGAACAAGATAGTTGGTGGCGAAGATGCACGTCCTGGTCAGTTTCCCTACCAGCTGGGTTTATATGACGTGTCTGGCATCCCCAATGAATTCCTATGCGGGGCTATCGTCTACGCTACTGATACTATGATCACTGCTGCAAACTGTCAGATACTTCGACCACGATGATCATAGGAACCTGGTAGTATGTACATTTGTTTTACAATCTAGTCTAGTTCTACAACAAACATAAGGTGATTAATTTACACTAAAGGTAGAGCTAAAGAAACACATATTTTTTCTCAAAGTAAAGCCTAGTGCATGTTATTCCAAATTTCGATCGCACGTTTACTACCAAAAATTTAGTCTTCCTCTCAGTTCTCGTTCTGCTCTGGTACACACAACGGAAATGAGTTCAATCCTGCATACATGCTTAGTTGAATTTTTACTAGCATTCATGGTTGAAGTTGTAGAAAAAGACCCTCAAATGATGCTTATTAGTCTTCGAAAAACACTTATTTAGAAATTCGTTGATACACATCAACGACATCTTATACACCAATTCGTTGATCCTCACATCAATCGTTTACGAGATTATACACTAGTTCAGGTTCAGCACGAAATGACAGAGCATTTCTTGATCGATACATGTATCGTATGATGAAAACACTTTCATTCTTATTAATCGCTATCATTCCATAGCTATTTTAGAGGAGGTATCTCGAATTGTAATATATATTACTTCCGCACTAATAAAACTGATTTTCTACAATTACAGCTTGTGGCTGGAAATCTCAGATTGCAATACGACGACGGGACAGAGCAATCACGAAGCGTAGTTCAGATCATCGCGCACGAAAGTTACAACGTTAACACAGCTGAGAACGATATCGCATTATTAAAAGTTGACTCCTCTCTTGAATTTAACACGTATGTGTCCGGGGTGACCTTGCCTTTTCAGGGACAGAACTTCTCTGGAAATGCTTTCGTTTCTGGATGGAGAACCTTGAGCCCCGGAGGCAGTACTCCAGGTAACCTGCAGTACGCCAGCGTGCCCATCGTCGACGACGAAACTTGTAGGAGCTTCTATGGAGCGTCAGCTATTGCCGACTCGATGATCTGTGCTGGAGACGGAAACGAGACAACATGTAAGGGAGACGGTGGTGGCCCCATGACGTGCGGGGATTATCTCTGCGGAATTACCTCCTTTGGCTACGAGTGCAACAAGTTTGGGTACCCCGGAGTGAAAACAGAAGTCGTGAAAAGTCATGAAAACAGCATAAGTCGTGACTTCAACAATACTTCATGAACGGGTGCGCCAGAGAAACTTACTTATTTGAAAGGTCAATAAAAACAAAAGTACTTCAATTATTGTTTTAATTTTTTTTTATTTGAGAATATAGTTTCCCAAATTTTTTTTAATACAGTCTTGAAAATGACATCTCATAAATGACGGCCCCCATTGCGCATACACTGATGAAGTCGATTTTTGAAATCAATCGGTATTTTGGCAATGACGTCGCGAATGTTGTTCTTGAGGTGTGCTAAGGTCCGTGGTCGATCGACATAAACCAGAAATTTCAAATAACCCCATAAAAAGAAATCGCATGGATCAAATCTGGAGAGAGTGGCGGCCATTGGAGATCGCCTCTGAGAGAGATAAGGCGGTCGGGGAAATGATGTCGCAATAAATTCATTGAGTCTCGTGCTGTGTGTGATGTGGCTCCATCTTGCTGAAACCACACGTTCCTAACGTTCATTTCTTCGAGTCTTGGAAAAAAAATTCCTCGATCATGTTCCTGTAACGAGCTCCATTAACGGTAACTGCACGTTCGTATTCTTCAAAAAATAATTCCCATTACCGACGTCGCACATCAGACAGTAATTCGCTTACAGTTAAGTGGCTTCTGGTGAAGCTCACATGGATTTACACCACACCAATAACGCATGTTTTGCTTGTTGAGGCAGCCGGAAATGTGGAAGTGAGCCTCGTCACTGAAAAAAACGACCGCGTCTTCAGGCAGGTTGTCAACCAGCATTTCACATGCATTTCGACGGGCAACAAAATCGCATTCAGTTAATTCTTGCACAGCAGCAAATTAATTTGAGAAACTTTGAGAAACAAACTTGGGAACTTTCCCCTTCAGAAGCCCCTCTACCCGACCAATTAACCGCACAGGAATTTTTCAAATAAGTAAGTTTCTCTGGCGCACCCTGTATCTAAATGATACAGCTAATTGTAAGATGCTCACATAATGTAAATATCTCGATAAAACATGTATAATTAAACCCAGTCATATGTCAACATGATAGGACATATTCAAAGAACTGTATTATAATGAGTGTAATAGGAATTTCAATAATTATTTCATTTTATACACCAAGCGATGCCATGCATGTTCTTCGGAGTTATTTCCTCAGTATATGACTAAGAGTGCATTCAGAGCCTTAATTGGATACATCTTACATATGAATTATTACAATTGTATTGTTGAATACCTTAATTTGAACTTAAATTTATCTCAAATGTTAAAAGTTTAGAATTTTATTTCTTATACGAAAAATCTGCCTAGCGTTACATTTGCGACATCATTCGCCTGTCTGTGTTATGATGAAAAAGTTGTTATGATTTTTTTTTTCAATAAAATTATTTATCGCAAGCTGCCATATTGTCCGTCGTCAGTGCCTGAATTACGCGCTCCGGCTGGCTGAGTGGCGCTTTACGCGCCTTTGCCAACTCATTTTAAGACAAGCCGGGATGGACACTTTGGCTCGTCGTTGGTACGCATAGATTTGCTTGAGTGTACGTCAGTAGTGGCCCGTAAATTGACGTAAAATCATTCCAGAAAAAGCGTCGACCACTGAAACGATCGACTTTTAACGCAAATTACTTTAAAGTGCAAGGAATCGTAAAATTAGACCCATAAACAGCAAGGCATGAAAAAGTTACACCGACGAAAAAAAGGCTGACCATCGTCAACCAGTGGCGGATGAATGACGTTAGTTTATCAAATTCAAATTTTCGTCGACTTCAGAGTCACGCCATTGCTGGTATTGAGAAAGACTCTGACAGCCAGATCAAGGCCGGAGAAAATGCGCTTTAATGTCACTGCGACAATTTTTGCCCGGCCGCAAGATAGCCTAGCAGTCGAGTCGGACCTACATTACAGGGTGTTTTTGTGATCGCAAGGTGTGCAAAACTACAGTACATGAGTGCTGAGTGCACTAAAATATTAATAATTTACTAGTTCTTCATTTTTTGGGTGCATTTCAGGGCACAGTTACGTGTTTGGGACCACACAATGGAAAGATAGTTTAATGCATTCAAGTAAACAGCCATTTTATTCCAGCTAAAACTGCGTCACCAAATCTGCCATCATCTCAATTTGTTGTTAAAAAACCTACTAGTTATTGACAACTGAGCCTGCAGTGCACACATCATTCGGACATCGCTGCAGAGCACAGGTCATCCGGACATCACTGCCGTGCACACACATACAATGAATTTTGTGTGCATGGCAAGTCCCCAAGGGAGGGGACAGCGTTATGGAACAAGAGAAATCCACAGTCTGAGTTATCGTTGGGCTCGAGCGGTCCCCAAAGTCCTGAACCAGGCAAGCCGGACATGACTTGGCCGGTGCGCCAGGTCCACATGCGGTTGTTGCGGCGAAGCCACACGGTGTACGAACCAAAGGAAACGCCCGCTGTCATGAAATAGAAGGGATTTTAAAATGGTTAAGAAGAGATTCAAAATTCAAATCACATTCAGATGAATATTTCGATTTGAATGCGAACTCTCGGCTATTTTCGGAACACTATTGAAATAGAGAACATAAAAATTATTGCAAAATTTTCGTTTCATTTAGGGTGCAGCTGCATTCACACATCCTTATTATTCATACTTTTACAATTAAAAAATATCATTTACCAAACCGGAATGCCGTTTGGTATAGGTAGGCAGCGAGCTTGAAGAAGTTGTCGGCGTAGAGAGTGACGAGCTGGGAGCCTCCCAGGGCACGAGGTCTGGGCGACGGCGTACGGCACGTTGTTCTTGACCAAAACCACACAACCGACGTCCGCAACCCAGTCGAAGGTGGCCGGGCAGGGTGGGGCTGAGTGTAAGGATGGTTTTAGTATTCGTAATCAGTAAGGTACGGACAAAGATTAACTAATAGTACTAATTAATTAATGATCAGTTAGTGTAATTTTGCAGCACCTTATCCAGCCCGCGTGAATTGACAATTTAGTCAAGCAGTAAAAGGTTTTCATCACATGAACCTTGAACTACTTCGAGATTCTAGACCGAGTTCCATCAGGTTCTAGACCGATCGATCATTTCTGATAGATGCCAAACGGAACTCTCACCCACCTTGGCGTTACGGTATGACAAGTAAACGACGTAGCATCATAGACGTCAAGTGCAAAATTACTTCCAGTTCCTAGAAATCGCGCGAGATCGTGACATTCAATGAATTAAAACAATCATAGATGAGTTCTAAAATAAGAGTCAACAAAGCGATCAATATCGACCACTGGGTAGTTGAGGACGGCGTACCAGATCGCGCAGAGGGTCGATAAATTTTTAGGGATCGGAACGATGTCTCTCAGGGGGAAGTAAGAAAAAATACATCTTCAAAAGTAGGACATTTAGTGTTTAGAAAGTAAGAAATTTGGTCCAATAACATACTACAAAATAAACATGAAAAACTTGACATAAAGATTTCTCAAATAAAATTAAATGTTGAAAACGAGACTTGTTTCCAATTCAGTACCCTCATCTGAGCCATTATTCGCACGTTTTGTATATTGGGAGTCGATGTAAATAGATAGGAATATCCTACGGATTAGTAGACTGGTAAAACTATTCGCTTATCCCTGATCTAAAACGATGGCCTTCGTCCATGAAACAAACCCCCGAGGCAAATGACGCTGAAACAACGTTGATTATGAATTGATTTCGTTTAAGTAGCGCTAAATCAAAGTTATTTCAACTTTATATGCTTGGCAATAACTCAGTTTTTATGTTAACACGCGTGCGTCGCTTCCTGGCAACAATGTGCATTGTTTATTCGGCAACATAAACACATTACAAATAATGTAGCCTGTATATGTATATTTCTTCATCACCCGCGCTTCAGAGACATGGATGATAAAACAATCCTCATTATACTCCTTGTTCAAGGGTTGGGGTTAATCAACAACCGGTTTGTGATAGTGCACACAGCAAAAACGCAGCAGTTATCTTTATCAAATGCTTCATAATTGGCAGCAGTTGTTTGGTGCCTTTGTGTCGTGCAGATGCAGAATGTGACACGCTTCTCATTTCAATTGTGTAATCCCACCGTTAATTGTGATGTATGTGACCAGAAAATAATTCAATTTTTCAAGTCTGCTGAATTCTGAACATTTTTAGAAACGAAAATTTCTTAGTTTTACTATCCACTTCTTAAAGTGATGTTTGTTGGGAAGCCCGTCAGCAGCTTGGCGGCAATCAAGAACACACAGTTGATCATCTTAGATTTTGGCAGCAATAGAATTTCTTAACTGTATATGTTGGCATGAGTGTGTGATTTCAGCTGCTCGTATTCATATGCTCTAGGTTCTAATTTCCAATTCATCAAAATTTTTCCGGAGTAAAATCGAAGTACCACTATTTAGGTTATTTTTGATGAACTAAATCTTATAAGATTTATTATTGAAGTTGCCATCGGGCTAAACAATGTTAGAGAGGCCACAAACCCCATATCAAATTTCGACGGTATTAATGTGTCTATTCTTCATTTCCTTATCGAAACTTTTATTTCTGTCAGCCGCTGGCGCAAGGACGCCCCAAGCGCGCCTGGCGGTGTAAATTAACGGTTCTATATATGTCCGCTTTAGGTTCCGGTTGCCGGAGCCAAATGCGCGCCGAAACAGAATCTTGTGAAATACCTGCCGAGCTTTGGGTGATCGTTGGGCGCGCGTATTTGGTACCTGATACGTTCGGGACAGACACGGCCAAATCTGAAAAATGCGTTGAAAAACGTCCTCTCTCTTCCCCTCCTTATGGGGGGGTGGGGGAGGGAAGGGGCATTTGAATCTCTGTATGTACGCTATGTATATACAGGGTGTTTCAGAATTAAGCAACCCTTTTAATTTGTTAATAAATAAAAAACTAAGAACGTTATGAAGTTGAAACTTGTTTTATTTAAAAGAAGAACATTTTTATGGTAATATTGTATCCTAGTTTTTAAATATAATATCTTTTAAATGCCCACCACAATTGTTTTGACAAAATAGGGCTCTTCTCTTCGTTGCTTTCATAACCTT